TGTACTCTACTCCCTCCCCTTGTCGCTAACCCTCGATATAAACCTTCGAAATGCAGAAAACTACAACTTACCTAACAACAGACTTGAATTATCGAACTCTTCCTTCTTTCTTTCAACACTTAGACTGTTGAACCAGTTGTCTATTAATACTAGACATAGTCCTACACTATCGTGCAAAAAAGATCTATATCTATATCTATATCTATATCTATACCTATATCTATATCTATACCTATACCTATATCTATATCTATACCTATACCTATATCTATATCTATACCTATATCTATATCTATATCTATATCTATATCTATACCTATATCTATATCTATATCTATACCTATATCTATATCTATATCTATACCTATATCTACATCTATATCTATACCTATACCTATATCTATATCTATACCTATACCTATATCTATATCTATATCTATACCTATATCTATATCTATACCTATATCTATATCTATATCTATATCTATATCGAGTTAGTTTGGTTGATGATCAGCAGTGTACATGTGGCTTCCCTACTAAAGACACCTACCATTTCTTTTTCATTTGCAAAAATTATGTCAACAAAGAGTTAAACTTTACCGTGAGCTTAACAAAAACGACACAGGCAATTACATGTGCATAAAGTACGGTTCATTTTCCTTTCCTTTTTCTTCTTCAGCTAATAGTTATATAAAAACATTTACTGAAAAAATATACATGCCATATGTGGAAATCAATATTATCGATTGTAATTAACTCACTGTTAAACGTTTTAGTAGTCTGTTTAGAGTTTTATATATTTTGTTTTCTGTAAGATGTGTCTATTGCATACACACTCAATATGCAATTTAAAACTCGTCTATCTTGCAGGGTGCTCATAGGGTATTAGAGTACAGTTGATCCTAAAAATAAAGGGCATGTCTCAGATAAACATGGATAGCGGATTTATCCTGTACAACACACCTACACACATATATATATATTTACAAATTACTTTTTGATTAAATTTTTTTTAGCAGAATGATTTTTTTTCAAAAAGTGATTTCCCCAGATTTGGGAATTGTGAAAACCATGGTTACCACATCAAAAAACGTCAAAAAATGCAAAAAAAACCCAAAAGTTTGACCGACGCAAGTGGTAATATTTTTCTTAATATCTGTCTTAATTGAATATCATCTAATCGGTAACAGAAATACTCACGTTTTAGCATAGGTCGTTCAACTGGATGTTTCACAATATTTACACATGTGCTGAGTATAAAAATAGACTGCATGAAAAGCTAGCTTTTGTTGTGTAGACACAGATTTGTAAATGGCCAAAAATGTAGTCTCAAACCAAATTCGATTTTTTTTGCTTTTAAATGTGAAGCCCACATAGTCCACTTCATCATGTATATGCCAATTTAAGTGCTGATTTGTTTTTTAAAACTTTGATACATGTAATATAACATGGGTTATTCATTGTACAAAATATCACCCATGGCCACCGTACTCTACTGTACACTGCTACCTAGGGTGTAAGCATGACACTTGAGTTATATCAAAACACATTCAAATGACATTTCTTTTCAGCCAATGACTCTACATGTATCACAAATATACGTGTATTATACATGTATCACAAATACACGTGTATTAAACATGTATCACAAATATACGTGTATTAAACATGTATTACAAATATACGTGTATTAAACATGTATCACAAATATTCGTGTATTAAACATGTATCACAAATATACGTGTATTAAACATGTAGCACAAATATACGTGTATTATACATGTATCACAAATACACGTGTATTAAACATGTATCACAAATATACGTGTTTTATACATGTATCACAAATATACGTGTATTAAACATGTATTACAAATATACGTGTATTAAACATGTATCACACATATACGTGTATTAAACATGTATCACAAATATTCGTGTATTAAACATGTATCACAAATATACGTGTATTTAACATGTATCACAAATATACGTGTATTATACATGTAGCACAAATATACGTGTATTAAACATGTATCACACATATACGTGTATTAAACATGTATCACAAATATACGTGTATTAAACATGCATCACAAATATACGTGTATTATACATGTATCACAAAAATACGTGTATTAAACATGTATCACAAATATCCGTGTATTAAACATGTATCACAAATATACGTGGAATATACATGTATCACAAATATACGTGTATTAAACATGCATCACAAATATACGTGTATTATACATGTATGACAAATATACGTGTATTATACATGTATCACAAATATACGTGTACTATACATGTTTCACAAATATACGTGTATTAAACATGTCTCACAAATATCCGTGTATTATCCCTGTATCACAAATATACGTGTATTAAACATGTATTACAAATATACGTGTATTAAACATGTATCACAAATATTCGTGTATTAAACATGTATCACAAATATACGTGTTTTATACATGTATCACAAATATACGTGTATTAAACATGTCTCACAAATATCCGTGTATTATCCCTGTATCACAAATATACGTGTATTAAACATGTCTCACAAATATCCGTGTATTATCCCTGTATCACAAATATACGTGTATTAAACATGTAGCACAAATATACGTGTATTATACATGTATCACAAATATCCGTGTATTATACATGTATCACAAATATACGAGTATTATACATGTATCACAAATATACGTGTATTATACATGTATTGCCCTTGCTATAGGAAAACCTGAGTCTTTGTTTCCCCGAGATTAATCATGTTTTCAAAATGGTGAAGAACGGGGCGAAGCATGATGTCTTTCGGTAAAACAAATGATCGTGTTTCCTAATAACAACGGCAATAAACATGAAGAATAATAACACATCAGTGAAGATGTCAGACTTCCGCGCCATTTTTGTCGTCTGCTCCAGTCATTCGGAACACAGGAGAGGTACATTTTACTTCTTGCCGGTTTTTCTAGAGAGGCTCCGTGTAAGGGAAATACATTGTATGACTGGAGAAACTCGAGCGCGTGAGTCANGTTTTCCCCCCCCCCCCCCCCCCCTCATTTGATCAATATAATCCAATCAGCCTATAGAATAAGTTTAACAATAATATCTAGGTTAAAAACCTTTCTTCATAAAATGTTATGTGTACAGCATACTATTAAAGCATCAGATATATACACCTACACACTGTGTAACTGTAAACAGGTGATGTAGCCATATCCAATCCATCCACGGGTGGTCGGGTGGTGCAGTGGATAGCGCACTTGCCTTTCACCAAGGCGGCCGGGGTTCGATTCCCCGATCGGACGTGAAAAGGTTGGGGTCACCTGCCCGACCACTTGGGTTTTCTCCGGGTACTCCGGTTTCCTCCCACACTAAGACCCCCACGCGCTAACATCCGGGCCAACAAGAGTGATTAATATAAGTTGAAATAACTTGTTTCATAATTGTTGTTAAATAAATAAAGTTTATATTTATCCAATCCATCCTGCCGGAGGTCCCACGATAAGCACTTATTGAAGTAATTTCATGAAGTATTTCCCTGTTTAACTACCCTAGGTAGACATTAAATGTTGCGAAAAACGTATTTAATCTTTACCATCGGCCTTCTCCGATACCGATTTCGACAATGAGATATCTAAAAGTAAAAATATGGTGCTACATGTTCGATTCGGCAAAAGTGAAATTTGAGATCTAAACAACTTTGCGAAGCAGGAACTTTTCGATAAAGTTTAGATAGTTTCCAAAGACGTAAATGACATGCAGGCAAAATAATATGTGACGTGGCCGTATTGGGCACTGGCACTATTCTCTATTGCATGTTATATTTTGTTTTAGAAACCCTCAAGTCTCTAACACGACGAAAAATTAGGTGAAATACCTTATCAGTCTTTGTTCGTGGTTATTTATTCTGTTTGTCATCATAAAATATCGGCATCATAAAGAAATGGATATAAGAGTTATCAAATCTGGTTAGCTTTACGACTCAACGCCAACTTTTCAAAATGCGATGCTTTAGAAACATCTGTATACTTGTTTTGTTTTCTTCAATTTTGTTTTGTATTATTTTTGAAAAAAATAATAATATTTAAGCATTAAGTTGTAAGCTGCTTCGCTATAAAACAACTTCACAGGAAAATGCCACTTTTCCTATATTCAATAAGAAATGGCATGTATCAGTATAAAGAAACCTGACGGCCCAGGTACAGCTGATACATGTGACCCTTAAAGACAATCCTATTTATCGAGGTAGATTAAAGCATAAAGACGAGATAAATATGTTTCTGAAATGCTAAAAATATGTCAGAATCTATCATGAAGAAAAACACGAAACCCACACATACATGTAGAAATGTTTATTTACAAAGTTCAATGCAAAATATGTGTTGGACGGATGTTTGTGGCAATTTGCACCACATAATGCTGAATCTCATCTCATACACTCAGTTATCACAGTTCCCGCTTATTTAATAAATACCCCCAAAACATGTAGCAACATTAACTCTATCAGAGCACGCTAAGAGATAGTTATTTACAATAAAATAAGCAAATGTCCCCACAATATTGACATTTTTCCCATCAAATCGAGATGTTTGCACTCAATAATCAACCACTAATATATACTGTAGGAATTGTAGTTATAAATGTTTTACTGCATCACAATAACGTCACTACATTCAATGTAATCGAAATTCATTAGATTACTGACAAAAGATACATTTTACTTTTATCTACATTGAATTTACCACCACCTAAAGATGTTCGCGCATGCGTAGACGAGTGAGCCAGACCGAAAATGTCCTTTGGGAATTTTAACAATGAAGATGTTATTGCAATTTAAGAATTTGTTTCAGAATTTGGTATTACAAAGTGACGACATCGTTTTTACTGATATATCAGGGATGCCATTCATGAGGACATGTTCTTTGTTGATCTATGAAATGGTCAAAATAAGCTAAAACTGTTTTGGTTTTTTTTATTAGCATGCTCAAAGTATATATACCCGTTTTATAATTATACATTGTAGCCCATGTATGAAGTCAGGTTAAGTCACATGATCAATAAAGCACTTTTACATACTAGCAACCCGACAACAAATATAGAAATACTGTCAAACAAAGAGCCTTTACCATTCTAATCACTGTGTAACATACCTCTTCATTTTGTATGGTATGAAGTTATGAAAGTCATACGTTTACCATTTCCGCACGGACGGTGAAACGCCATAGTATGCAGGGACGGTATAACGCCATAGTATCAGGGACGGTGTAACGCCATAGTATGCAGGGACGGTGTAACGCCATAGTATGCACGGACGGAATACTGCATGTGTACATACGCACAGTGTAGATATTCGGACATACGAACTTTATACACAACCAGGGAATAAACAAGTCCTTGTTATACTGAGAGAGGGAAGTAGATTGTGTCACACGCGTTGAAAATTTGAGGATGTTCAACATTGTTTAAAGAAAGGATGTAAACAATGTAAAAATACAGGTATTTCGGCCTTTGTTGCCTTTGATCCGAAACCAGCTCCATGGATTGGCAGTTAATTGTCCATGGTAACCAATCTGTTGATGTGTATTTCGTAGCTAATACTATTATATCAATAGCAGTTGATCTTATGATATCCCTGTGGTTATACGTTTATTTCCATACTGTATATATTGACTACATAATTGTGAAGTCCCTTGTTCTCCAGGTCTAACCTAAGTGGCTCCCCCTACAAAGGTAACAAAACGTAATTAATGGCGTAGTTACAGTCTGTAAGGTTGAGATGGGCATCTCGATTAACAAAGATTAAGATGACTAATAATATATGTCATCTTTGTCTTTCTTCCATTATCTTCGCCAGCTTTCATTAACCGGTCTTAAATGTCCCTTAACTTAATCATTATTCGTCATCATGGACTTTTTTGTCCATGACATTTACATGTGGATTCAATTATGTATTTCATTACCAATGTATGTTATTAATACGCAAATGTGACAGTCTGACAGATAATATGTGAATCAGTTTTTAGTAAACAATTAAACAGCTCCCTTGGGGGTGTAATGTACATTTAATCTTATAAAATTAAATCATTGGGGGAACGACGCGTCATCGGTGGTGGACAAACTAACAGACCTAATAGATGTACAATGTATACGTACTCGAGTCCGACGCTGTCGTGTGACTCCGCCATCATGACGAACTTTGTCTCCTGTGACTGGCCGTCAAGGTGAATGAGAACGACGTATTGCCCAGGTTCAAGGACGTAATCGGCCGACACGTTCTTGGACACCACAAACTTGCCGTCGTCGTTGTCGGTCATGCGCGCTAGCTTGCTATCATCACTGTAGTTGTTCCATATCCAGTCGGTGGTCAGTGGGAATATATCTTCGTCCATCTAAGACGAAAACCATAACTTACTCTTGACAACTTACATCATAACATTATACCCAAACAAATTAATGTAAGTTCGTACGGTTATTCTATGCGTTGATGTCGAAACTAAATACTCGACCTATTTAAGAAATGGTATGTTTGTTGTTTCAAAATGTTAAGGCATTTATCAATGCTATATAGAAAAAGATTGTCATTTTTTTTTATCGTAAAACTATGGACAAGAGGCTCATTTTGCCTAAACCCTAATATAAGGTTCATGGACGTTCAAAGGGACGTGTTCTGTTTGAAACCAATCGTTTGAGCTGTCCTAAAGAAGAGCCTGCCATTAGGTTGACTTTAATTTCGGGTCAGCACAAAAAGAAAGAGACAGTACATTTGCATAGTGTTCGTTGCTTTCGTTCTTGAGAAGGAGTAGTTAATCCGAGGTTAAAACGGCCATCTTGGATTTTTTAATCGGTATTTACAAAAAGCAACCAAACTTGGTGATAACTGTATATGGCAAACTTGTACTGAGCTTGGAGTCGAAATGAATATATTCAGCCAATCAAAGGCCATGACGGCCATCTTGGACTTTAAAATAGGCACGAAAAAAACATTAACACTTGGTCGGAACCTCATAAGGAACATTTGTTGCCATGATGTCAATTGCTGTACAGTCATTCTGAAGAAGACGTGTAAAATGTACATGTCTCATTCATTCAGAAGCTATTATGGCAATCCTAGCTTTTCGGTTTGGCACATACACCACTTGGTTGGAACATGACAAGACACATCGTGAGAGGAAGTTGAAGATAATTGTTAACATATGATGCACAGTGTGTGACGATGGACGAAGAGGGATAGCAGAAGCTCACATAATAACCGTTTCAAGTTAAAACTGACATCATCGCGAAAATAATCATTTATTGTAGAGTATGTGAGGCATTATAAGTGGTCAAAATACAGTATGATTTTTTTTCAGGATACCAATATAAACGTCAAAATATACGCAACTGAATTTGATGAGTCTGTATACCACCTACATGGTACAAACACTTGCAGTACATTAAAAATCAACATTTTATTTACTGCATGTTGATTTCAGTGATTTCAGTGCTCCTTACCCTCCACATGCGGAATCCTAACGGCATTAGCTCTTCCTTCATTTCCTGCATCAGCTGGAATCGCACAATACCTGTCAAATAAACATAGTATTGATTTCGAAAAAGGAAAATCACTCATGGACCGACGGACGCACAGACGTACAACTTACTCGCCATAGCAATACAAACATACAGACTTGCACTGTCACTCATCATTTCGTGAAGAACGGAAATAAATAATTCACTTTTGCCATAATGGCAAATGTGATGATGACATAACTATCACGTGATCATGACACGAAATAAATTAGGGTCGTCTATTTGTATAAAGATGTACAAATCATTTCTGGAATATCGGATACATGTATCTAACATATATGTTGACGTATAGACATAATTTAGTAATCTGGTTGACGAACACGTAAATAGCAATCCACTCTTGTTGACGAACAGATATATAACTTACCTGTCGGATTTACGTACAAATATATACAATGTTCTTAACCTCTCTAAATGGTGAACAGATGCATGACTTACCCCTCTCGGTGACGGTCACACGGAACTGGGGATTATTTCCCACTGTGTCATTCGAGACCTGGCCCCCGGCGTTGGAGCCCTGTACAAACGCGCCTGTTACACACTGACAAGTCCCTGTAATGGAAAAAGTTGCAGCCACTGTACGTTGAAATGATTGCAGATAAAAGTATTTTCTTTGAATCAACTATAATCGTCTAAACTTGTCTGATTTGTACCAAATCTGTTAATAGGACGTTTAACAGAAACAAACTAAACCAAACTAGTTAGTATCTGAGGCAGATAAAGAAAGTTCGAACTGGGAAGGGTCCACTTGTTGGTGTATCCAGAAGTTATTTTATATATATGTAGATATTTATCGTTTTAAAAAAGTCTATGCCGTACATTTTTTTTTTTTTACCCTGTTCTATGTTGGGTTTTTTTCATTTCAAAAAGGGGATCAAATCCCCAGGAACTACCCCTTTCCCCCTAAACCAGCCCCTGAAGGTCCAGTGGAACTTGGAATGGAAACCTTACTGATATCAGTAGGTACGTCCAGTTGTGGAAGGTCTGGGCGGTCGAACAACATGTACTTGATACTTTGGTCATCAGTCAGGTTCCTATAAAATTAGAGTATATCAATAAATCATAAGGTACATCATGTGACAAACCTACACAGTTTCTAAATGTCGGGGAGCGGCATGGTCATATACATAGTTCTGGGAGTGAATGCGGCTGCACCGATATTTGTTTATATTAATCAAAACTCTAGTTATTTTTGCGCGAAGAAATGGGACTGTAATGCAATCGTATTTCATATTGAAAACTTCTTTTCTTCATAACAAAATTTGGTTCGTATTGAATAAAGTCAATATTCAGTAGAATTTATTGTGACGGTGAAATAAGTTGTTTGACGTAGGCTTATCGTGAAATGGATTACCAGGGTAGACAGAACGATATAAAATTCACAATTTCAACATTAAAAGTTATAAAATAAAATATATGTATAAATAAACTGAAGGAACTGTGTAAACGTTCCAAAATAAACGGTAAGAACTCGTCATATCCTATTTTTTTCCCCATTTGATATTTCGTTAATACAGAATGACATATGTTTTCTCTAAACAATATCATAACATTTCCGACATAAATGCATAGTTTTTTGTTTGTTCTCAATTAATTTTGACGGGAACATCTTTATTTGTAGTACATATTGTACATCCTAAAACACTTTTTCAAACGTACAACTCTCACATTTCAATAAACCAACATATATCCTGTACAGTGTAAATCATATTTAACATAAACCTTATGTTAATAAAATAGGGTTTTGTAATAGTTGAAATGTTAATGTACACCTTTTATATAATCGTCAGTGATAATGTTTGATATCTAACACGTTGTATAATGTAAGTTGTATTTCTAAATAGATTTGAATATTGTATCAATACATTTATGATTGATACATAGAGAAGTTAATTAAAAAATAAACAAGCAAAACAGAGATATGCGTAAGTACTTTTGCAATAAAAGAATACGTTAACTTAGTATAAAGTCTTTCCAAACTTACACTTCATTATACAAATACTTTAACACAGGGTATCAGGTGTTTGCCGAGACAATTGTTATTTTGTTAAGATTTTGAATTACTGCAAATTGTTTATGCAAGCACAAAAATAAATAAATAAAATAAATGACAGATCAACACAGTTTCGTTTTTAACCTCAATGATTAACAGTATATTTCATAAGATATGTCATAAGCTTAAGATATACAAGTACTTCGAACTATAACTAATAAAGCAAAAAGCATGCAAAGAATGTGGTAAATACATACTCTACTCTGTTTATGTATACCTTATTTTATTTATCATCTTTAACTACTTTCATCGTATCTGTATCAATACAAAAATATACGGACAGTCAAACACCCTTTGTCTTGAACTAATGTTCTACAAAAGAAGGAAATTACTAACTAGCATAAGTTCCTGCTGAAAGAACAATACTTTCCTAACAAGTGACTGGCATGCACATGCGACGTCTCTCAAGGTCTATTAATCCAGAAATTTAGATTTTTGCGCTAAACAAGATATCTACAGAAAGAATAGTAAAAAAGTGGTTGCACTAATTAAAAAGGCACAGAATCAGACGGCTGACGATTTGTTTCATGCTGAAAATTGAAACTTATGTCTCTTCTTTTATTAGAAGTTTCCATGCAGGAAGGGGGTCAAAAGTAGGCAAAGGTAGAACAGAAATTATATGTTACTGAAAGTGTCGGTAGTAATCCTCACATTCCGACAACACATCTTTTAGATATCTCATTCGGATGGATGTTGTTATAATTGTAAATTGTAATCAACAGCACTCTAGAAAAAATGTCCGTTAGACATTATTGACCGACACACACATAGCCCAATCCACTGGAAAAAGAAACACCAGGTAAGATCCTTTGTAAGAAAAACAGTTTTATGAAATTCCACAGAACATTGCCAGTTATATAATTGACAATAATACTGTAAACCATCGTACTCGACTTTGCATACTTCTGAGGACGTCTGGTAGATACCATACCTACGTTATTGAGACTTTCTAAATTAAGTTAGAATTTGAATGCGATTTGTCTCCTTTGATAATTTGCAATTTAATAAGAATTTTCCTCTGCAAATCTAAAGGATCGTTGATTTCTGTAAATCAAAATTGACATGTCTTTCCTTCCCATAACAACGGTTATTTGTTTCCAAGTTCACTTCCTTATTTCATTCCAAATATACTCTAGCGTATGACCTAAAACATATATTTAACTGATCGCTTTGTTAGAGCCTTGGGGTACTTTATGGGCTATATTATAGATATGTCGATTAAAGGTCGCTTCATAGGTCAATTTTTAACAGAACCAATAAAGTAATTGTCTTTTTAGCAAGCTAACGAACGCATATTTTCGTTTGCTTCATCGAAAAATACTTTAAAGTGATATTCGAATACCGTGCTGTCTAATTCGTTACATATGACCGTCACACACACCACCATGGGACAGCCAGTCGGCCTTAGCGTGTACGAAAAGTCGACTACGATACGTATGGATAACATATTTGTCTAAAGCTACATTAAATATTACTGAGAGTTGTTGCATTGTACCTTGTTACCAAGCCGTCTCTGAAACAAAATTGACGACAAAAAACATACAGATGATAATTTTAAACGTTCAGATGTAAGGTCAATTAATTATAAGCACTCTCAAATATGTTTTTAATATGTTTCATGCGATGTTTTAACATCTATTTTTAAAAAAAAACAGTTCTCTGTCTTACTAATCAAATTAACTCGGAAATCGTGAGGAGGTGCAAGTCGTGCTCTGCTCACATTCTCGGCGGGTAGCAGTCTTACTCTTTATCGTAAGTAATAGCTGAGCTTGTAGATTTAATTTTTACTGAAGGGATGCACACAATCAGAGCATTCAGTCACTTAGGTAACCATTCGGACACTTCCTAGTACAGTAATACAGTCATGGCTTCATATCTTGCTATCATAACCCGGAACCCATCTCTACCAGTGTTGTCGTTTCTCTCAGGGGGTAGAGAACGACAACTGTGGGTAGATGTTGCAAAGGAACTACAGCAGGTGAATGTGCTGCGAATGATCTTTGTTAATATTAAATACACGCCATTTTGTCTCTAACATACATACTTTTGAACCAGTCGTAAACTCTTTTAAATACCAAATACAGTGTATTACTTGTGGGATGAGTATTACTCACGATGTACGAGTACACCAAACAAATGCAGAATGAGAGAGCTGATTGTGATTATACGCTTAAAATTTCGAATAAATTCACCGCAGAGAAATACTCACTCAAAACAGTGAAGGGGGGCCGACGAGAATACTCTGACCATGAACTCCTTCTCGAGCCCCTCCTCGATGGCGGAGGGAATGACGATGTACTTGCCAGGTGTGACGAGGTATCGGAAGGACGCCTGCTGGTCCTGTTTGTACGAGTTGGTGTTGCTACCGAGTTCGTCCACAACATAAACACCTCCCTCGCTTGACAACACCTATCAACAAGGTCACGTGATCCATTAATACGGATTGAAGTGTTTGATGCTTTACTTAACATTGCGTTTTGTACCCCGAACTGATATCCTAATTAATTTGCTGACACTTTTTAACTACTTTTTTTGTACTGTGTCGAGAATCTTGTTTCCTAAACTTTTTAGCCTCTTAATTATGATGGGTAGATACCCAGTTGCTTACACAATTTTCCATGATGCGTGGTACCACTCTAAGGCATCAATGTTTTCGAAATTGAAAGAGCGCAAACGATCCATTTTAGTTACTTCCAGTTCAGACTTATTTTATTGCTCGTTCCAGTACCTTTAAAATGTATACTCGATCCAAATTGTATATATACATACCAATTAATCAACACCTGATAGACAAGACGCGATAAGGAAATGTAAATATGTTGTAGAGCAAGCCTCTGGTCTATTAAAAGGTAAATCAATTCAAGTGTAGGAGCTAAATATTCAGACAACACGTACATTCCCTTATATTACAGGGGGTAAACATTTGGTCTGATGAAGGGACCAGCCATTTGGACGAGCCTTTATCGTTTTGAGATCACAGCGGAAAGATATTTGTTCTGGTGGAGGGGAGAGACATTTGGACGAGCCCTTATATTGTAGAGATCATAACGATTTATATTTCGTCTGGTGAAGGGGAGAGACATTTGGACGAGCCGAAATATATTTGGACTGGTGAAGGGGCGAGACATTTGGACGAATCCTTATATTGTAGAGATCATAACGGTTAAATATTTGGTCTGGTGAAGAGGCGAGTCATTTGGACGAACCCTTATATTGTAGAGATCATAATGGTTAAATATTTGGTCTGGTGAAGAGGCGAGACATTTGGACGAACCCTTATAGTGTGGAGGTCCTAGCGAATATATATTTGGCCTGGTGAAGGGGCGAGACATTTGGACGGACCCTTATATCATAGAGATCATAGCGAATATATATTTGGTCTGGTGAAGGGGCGAGTTATTTGGACGAACCCTTATATTATAGAGATCATAACGGATATATATTTGGTCTGGTGAAGGGGCGAGACACTTGAATGAACCCTTATATTGTAGAGATCATAGCGGATATTTATTTTGTCTGGTGAAGGGGCGAGACACTTGAACGAACCCTTATATTGTAGAGATCATAGCGGATATATATTCGGAAGAACCTTTACCCCGTAGAGATATCTTGTCTTGTGAAAGGATGAAATATTCCGTCAAGACATTACCTTGTAGAGATCACAGCGGATTGATATCTTGTCTCTCTTTCTCTGGTAGGTTCTCTGTATGATCTGTACGACCAGTGGAACGTTGCCTCGCTCGTCACAAGCTGTAACATAAATAACCATCGGTGATTACAAAAACGTTATTTGACGTGCTGCATGGTACAAATCTACATAAACATGTAAGCAGTCTATATAATCTTTAATGTTGAAAATCAACGTAGATTTGCGTTCATTTTGTTACTGTTGATAAACATTTCGTCTGATTCCTCTCCGGCGTCCGACGTAAAGGGGTTTTTTTTTTTAATATGTCTCGTTTATTCTATACTAAGTAACGATCGAAGCTTACCTAAGCAATCGAAAAAAATCGCACATGGTGCTGGAAATGTAGATTTTCAAATAATAGAAAAAATATCAAACTTTGTGAAACTTAAGAAACATTTTCACGTAACTTGTATGATTATTTCAATTTGTTTAGGTTATCTACCCTCTGATATAACCCCGGTTCATTCTTCATTAGATAAAAGTTGATATTATGATGGGGGGGAAAAGATTAATAACAATTGTTAATGACCCAGTGTCGCTATATATACTGAAAAGCTTTTCAGTTGTGGGAAATTAATGAAGCCATAAAATAAAATATCTGCAGTGAACCTACAATCGTTATTTTACTCCTGATGTCACACGTATTTAATATTGGCTAATGACCCGGGAGATATCTGCTTTGACAGTAGGCACAGAGGGGAGATGACCGAAATAAAATGTCTCATTGGTAAAATAATAATACAAGTCACATGCACGGCAATCTCAATATGGTTCTACATTATTTTTGTTATACTAATTGCTTTTGCTACCAAGAAAATTAATAACAAACATAAATATCAGTCATACTTACAATTGTCTGTAACTTCTATTAGATATTTGGGGTTCTGTAGTTTCTTCTGAAAACCGGCAGCATTACTCCCCCGCCAGTCTCCATACAGACACGTGATATAGTCTGGATACACATAGATTAATGAATAAATACGAGTACACATAAAATAATAAACCGTAATGGAAGGTGAGAAACCTGCGCTCCTACTAAATACATGTAGTATGTTATGCGAGACCGGTATTTGACATCAAACATGTGCCTCTTCTATGATATTTTTTAGAATACTCATAAAAGATTGTTTGCACCTGAATAGAATACTTTGTTCAGAGATTATGTGTAATTTTGTCGTTATATCAGATTTTTTTATCAACATGTCGAGTGATCAACAAAGTGTTCACAAATAATGCGCCAGGCCGCGTGAGAAGCTGCCGAAGATGATGAATTGACTAAGTAATATGCTACAATCGCAAAGCCATGCTTATATTTCTATATTCAAACTTTATTTTATTAAATGTTTGCTTTTTCAATCAATTCTGAGTGGTCGTTATGCTAAATACCTGCAAAATTTAAACATCACTTAGGGTACTACATTGTACAAGTACATCGCGGATGGATATTTGTGATGGAGGCGCACAAAGTCCTAAGAGCCAATCAAATCAACATGTATGTGGATTAATATGAGGTGGAACATATTAATCAATGTTAAAAAACCGATTTATCAACGTTTAGATGAAGCCAATACATCTGCAGTTTTATGAAAAGCACGAGTGTCGATAAATCGGGACAATTGTAGTAGAAAATGATTCTTTTCAAGCTTTTTGTCAGAATTTAATTATCTAAATTTGTATTGTTTGTCAGCCATAACAAAAAAAACCTGAAGTGACAACTTACTTAAAGTATCGCTACATCCGTCCCTATCGAAATCCGGCGTGAGACAGCATATCGTGACGTCAGAGAAATACATCATAAAGTCTTCAAGAGACATGTAGAACTCTCCGTCGTCCACGTTTGGCCTCTGAACTTCGCCTTCTGGTACAGATGACCACTCATTACTCCTGTAACAAACCATGTGACTCGGTGTTTGAATACACACGACCAATAAAAGCCCCTGTCACATACCATTTTACGAGGTGTAAGTAGATATGACCAATCAGAACTCCTGTAACAAACCATATGCACGTGACTCGATGTTTAGATACACCCATAACAAACCATGTTAAGAACTGAGACGACCACTCAGAACTCCTGTAACTGAACCATCTTGGTTACGACCAGTAAGAAGTTGCCTTTTTCGGTTACCTCACTTTGTATAGACATTATTTACATGTAACCGAGATGCGACCGCACGTCGCAGTGCTGCCGAGAAGTGACCAAATGAGACACAGGACATGTCAGTCTTGCAATCAAAAATACAATGAAACAGTGAGATGCTGGGCGAATAAATCTGACACCGCCAAGCCACCTTCTCATTCGCCTTTATTACCTTAAAGTTACAAACGAGTCTTAGAACTCAATTGGAAATCAGAAAATGTCCGACGTCTGTCATCCGATGTACATATTTTTCCTGATTTCTGGTACAGGATTACATAATCTCTACACTCATTGTTGTAAAATGGTAACGAATGTAATCTGGACATTAAAGCTGCCCAAAGCTGTTATCTTCATAACGAGCGCTGGTAAAAGACAAAGGGTTACAGAAGAATAATACGAAATGGATTTGATCTAATGAGAAGGCACTATATCGCAATAAGGTGATGGAAAGGGATTGGGGTCGCAGGCGGTAAGAAATGAGACTGTCCTTTATAACCAAATCCATCTCCCTAAACATATTTCTTGATCTAGCAATAAGCCTTAACAGAGCTTTTGTTATAATAATTTCGTTGTCACACTGCGGATATTAAAGTATCGCGTTGGCATTGGTTACAAAACTACTTGTCATGACAGAGAACAAGAGGAATCAAACCCGTCTTTGCCGAGAGACATTTCGCGTAGAAGGGGAGGTAATTCCCATATACAAAATGGTATCGAAGTCGTCTGCGGCAAACATAATTTTAAATTATCCATCTGAAGTTAAATTTATGAAAACGCTGAAAATATTTGTTAATTTCTTTAATCGTTAACATAAACTTTAAGGTTGAACGATTATTTCTGCACTGCTTAAAACTGTAAAAACATCTGCTGTGAGAGAAAAAAGGGTATCCTTACAACACACATTGGCTTTGACGTATAAAAACATTCCTATTAAAGGTCTTTGATAGTTACATGGTATAATGTTACCTGTCAGAATCCATGTACCCTGATTTATGACATGGTCACATGACCTATAGTTACAGCTGATTTGTTTTCAGGAAATAAGTAAAATAGTTAATTTATTCAGGTGTTGTTTTACATGAATGATGTTCATGTTTTATGCTTTTAATATTTCGTAAACAAATATTTCCTTACCCATCACTCCACGGTCCCGTCCACTCGTGCTTCCCCCAGGGATTACGGACTCGGATCAACCGGGTACCGTTCCCCTGAAATGATAACAAGAATCAGATTGTATTTTTTCACACCAAATATCAATAATTTCCGCCATCATTAACTCAATACATATCATAACTGGTGGCATTTGAATAATATTCATTTTAATTTACTAATGGGTGTAACGCTTTTATGAAATTGTTGTATTCATACTTTCAGATACGTCAAGCATAGGAGGAGTAATGTCCCTTTGTACCGATATTGCTTTCATGTATACTTACCACTGCAGTTCCGGTAAGTGAGTACGCATGCCCACCGACGAGACCTTTATGATTGTCATGTTTTTCCTACAATATTAAGAATATCATTTACAGAATTCGGAAATGAAGAAAAAAATAGAATACGTGTATTATTACGTATATTGTGAGTCTAGCATAACATTTTGTATCTATGACTGTTGTGTTGAGAGGAAAGTTTGGATAACTGTGCACATAAAACCATACTACGGTAAACTGTGAGTCAACGATAATTTTATTATTATTGAAATAAAAATGAATGAAAAAATAAATACAAAAAAACACAATTTTGGAAAATATAAATGTCATGTGTTTCAAAACAATCACCTTTAGATCATGAGCATTTAAGTATTCATATTTCTACATACATTTTTCAAGAAATAATTTGACAAACCTGTGGATCATTCAAAGCTATTTAACAGTGTATGGGCACTACATAACACTGATTACATTTGGATGTCTTAAAGGTACACACAACTCACCGGCACAGTACACGCTACCATAGCTCCCGATCGTAACGCATTAGCGATTCTGTTAAACAGGCTATCACCGGAAGTCTGTCCCTTAGCTATGTCTATCATTTCCGGTACACCGGCTGTCAGTGCGATAAAGGAGTCAGCCGTTAGACCCCCTGTGACAGCTTCGTAGCTCCCATAGGACCTACAAATAAAACGGTGACCATTCATAACAAATATCCTATATTAATAGTTATTGATGTAATTCATTACTTATTGGTGGTTTCTTCAAATGAAGAATAAAATGTACGTGCATGTAAATCTATGCTGCTAACACATATCTAATCAAATTTCCCCAAAATTTACTAGACACATTCTAGTTGTTGACAAAAACCATATCGAGGTTCACATTCATCGCTTGTTAAATTTATTGAAAAAAAAAATAACAAACAAAAAACGAGCAGAACGATTCCATCAATTTTCTGACACATGGTTGCCTCATCAGTCAACTGAATGCCTACCTATCTAAGGTTTTCTGCAGACCAGCATTTCAATATTTATGGAGAGCGACACACATGTCCCGTCTACCTAAAAATGTTTGCTCTAGCAGAGCCTTTCTATAGTTATCGAGCTAAGAGCCTCTCCCCCAAAGCAACCCAGTACTTACCGAACGGCCACACTGCTTCGGAGAAAGAATAGACCTTCTTCCGCTAAAGGGACACTGACTTTATCTGCTACACCATTTTCTTTTCTCCCCTGCCTACTGTTTTTTTTCTCTCTTTTTCCCATTTTTTTGTGGTGTGTCCTCCAGGTCACCAAGCTTCATATGACCGTAAATGTTGCGAGAGCGTTAAACCACATACAGACCAACTTACCGGGCGAAAGCCTTTTCCAGCAGAGCGACCCACATCTCGTTTTCGTCTGTAGCAGAATGAGCACTGTATACTTTATCGCCGTAGATGATGGGCAAATGGTCATCAATATATACGTCATCCCAGACACCATACCTCCAGAACCGACAATGAAAGATGCCTTTATACTCGGCAGTGCCTACCTTATAGGCGTTCCGTGGAATGACCTGTCATAAACATAAAATAACAGGGTTTTTTAGGGTCGCAACATTGTGAAAAGTAAATCGGTCAATTAGAACCTAACTGTAGGAAAATATTTTTGCGATCTGAAAATAACGTTGGATAGCATATGAAGCAGAGGACCGGGATATGGAAGATGCCACAAGCGAGGATTTACATCTAAAGAAACCTTCACCTACACGGAGCGTCATTTACTAGACGTCTCATTATCTTACTTTGAATTACTGATAAATAGCAAGTCACTTTCGCATTAGATTTAGGAAATTCATATCATACTTATGACATTAAGATACGCACCTGTCTGATGAGTTTGGGTCGGTCTGCTATAACAGAAACCATGGACAGGAACCAGCACGTCCCTATTGATCCCTGACCTATGTCGTACCGCGTGGTTCCGTCAGAGAAAAGCACTGGACGAGATCGAATGTCCTGAAATGTAATTCAATCGATCATAAGCAACGTCGTTGCTACTAAGATCAAAATAATGTAAAGTTTCTGTATCAATTTTAATAAATAGATCTTTGACCTATCGCAACCAATGTAAGAGTTTTTCACTTTCGATTATTCTTTATAATCGTGATTTTTATACGGATTTTCGGATTACGTCGTCGTCCAAGTTCTTATATGATCACATCACTTGCATCGATTTCAAAACACATAAATTTGCATCGTGCACGAAAATATCAGTCCGAAAGAAATGTGTTTGAATGGTTAAAGATAACGATTACATGTTCTTCGCTTTATGTTTAACATCTTATGCGAATACATACTTAAATGTATAAATCCCTCACTTCAACCACGTACCGTAGGCCGTTTCCATTCAATGCCGTTGGGACGATTGGGTAGAGCGACATCTAGCGGAAATTCTCTGTCTTCATACAGACATCCCCCGGATGTGACGGGAACCTGCTCATAGTCATAGTCTTGTGGACACTTTCGGAAGTCGGCGTGGACCTCGTAAGTACCCATGTCTGTCTTAACATAATCGCTTCCGAAGGAAGGTGGAACTGGTGAATTCATGCCATCGAGATGACTTGGGTAAGGAGCCGGTGTAAACTCTTGTTCATGTTCTTCTTCCGGCGGAGATGGCGGCGGTGGTGTCGGGTCTTTCGGAGGAGGAGTTGGGTCCCGAGGGGGAGGGGGAGTTGGGTCCCGAGGGGGAGGAGGAGTTGGGTCCCGAGGGGGAGGAGGAGTTGGGTCCCGAGGGGGAGGGGGAGGGGTTGGGTCTCGCGGAGGAGGGGTTGGGTCTCGCGGGGGAGGGGTAGGATCTTTTGGCGGAGGGGTTGGGTCTCGGGCAGGTGTTGGTTGTACGTTGTTATGGTGGTGTATTGTGTCGTTCTGTCGCGTGTCGTGGTTATTGTGACCATGGCCCAGGTTGTTGTACTGGTGATTGGTGTCGGTGGACGCTGCGCATCCCATATTTACGACTTGTGTCAGGCGGGGTCAGTCAGGGATAGGAAGGGTAAGGCTGACACTGTAACAGACAGATATATACATATAATTTTACAGACCGAATGTATAATATATAATACTGGCTATTGCTTTTGTTCACGCATGCAACTTTCTGTAGTTCTTCATTCATACTCACAAATCACAAAAACTTTCCTCGCAACCTATAACCCGGATATCCACAGTCTACTGTTCCAAATTACACCTGTTAAAAATCACAACCACAGTCCTAAATAACTTTATCAACCCTCGGACACTACTGCATCAGTTAACTCCCCGTCCCAATCGACACCCATGTTATAAGGGACTGTCATTCTCCGTTGTTCCAATCATCATTCTTCTGCTTAACAATCCTTTATAAACATTATATACATACTTTTTAGGCATGCTTGTAAGTCGGTTGCCAATCGTTCAGAAGATACATTAAAATAAACATTGAATCATTACAAAACACATGTTGTTTCCAACCAGGGTTGAGTTCAATCACAAACACTTGACATATAGCTTAGAGAAAACATCGATTTCGCTAAATCATAAGTGTACAATAAACCTGTTATACTGCCACATTTTATTTTAAAAAAAATATTGGCGTTATAAAGGGGTGTGGTGCAACGGGGGGAACAAATAGAAGAAATGATACTTCTTAAAGGAAAACGGTTTTATCGTAAACAGGTAAAAAACAGAATAACGGCAGTGTGTCACCTAAAAGGGATGGGGAGGGACGATGACGTAGTAAAGAATGAGTTGTCGTGGGCTTTATACCAGGCAATCAAATGTAGACAAAATGTATATATATTGTACAGTGAACTACTGTTAGAAATCAAACCTAACAAGAATACGTTATTTAATTAATTTGGTCATCGTTTGTTGGCAATTGGTCGATCTATGTTAATGCTTATTTTTTCACTTGTCGATCATTCACTGCCATTTTGGGTGATATTTAAGGAAACTTACTAAAAAGCATTGGTATCCCATTAACTAACCAAATATTCCTCTACCAGAGACACACAATGTCATACGATGTTCTTTTTATCTTTTTTAAAGGTTAAAGTTCCCGGCAGACATATCGACTTCTATAGATTACACATTCAATACAAAGTACTCGTGTCCATATGTCAAACATTCTGAAAACGACATGGCGACCGTCTCTATGTTGGTGTGTTAGTCGCTGACAAACAATGGCAGTACCTGAACTTCAATATTAAAACACGTCATTGAAAATGAAATAACACGTATACGTACGGCCAACACAAAGTGTAAGGTAGATAGATAACCTTGATTACTTATAGCTTTGAATAGATTTTTAATGTGTTTTAGTCACGTTTTCTTCATAGATTTTAAAGATCAATTACAATTTTAATTGATCTAGGCGACTCTAATGATGGAGAAAAAAGTAATTATTATGCAACACGTCCAAAACGACTAATTGATCAATGTAGCTTTTCCGCACTGAAAAGTTTTCTGTTATTTAAAGAATTGCATTTAAAATAAACCTTTTGCATGAAATAAACATTTCATTTAAAAGAAACTGGTTCGAAGAGAGAGAAAAAAATTCAAGAGGCACCATGGGCCGACACGGTCTCCCCTTTATGATTGTACCAGAAAACAGAGCAAATCATTACTAACAAATTTAGTCTTTTCCCCAGCAGTCTACTGGCCAAATATCTCGACCCGGGTGCACATGGATCTATTTAAAGAAAAAATAAACGCTTGAATATATTATCATGTTTGAACATGTTTAGTAGCTCTCTATCTCAGCTAACTATAGTTATTTGGAAGTTATCGTTTAGATATTTTTAAACATTTGACCCAATGACTTTTGCAGAAGGACAATACCAATCATTTGCGTGCGTTCTGTATGGATTCACTTTGATTATCTTTCATTTCAACTAGCTACAGACCAAGTGTTATTCACAGTGAAACTTATCGTTTACGAGGGAAAACAACTTTGAATATGTTCATGTCCTTCTTTAAAAACTTTTAAGCAAATCGTCTAGCATTTGTGGTAGATTTAAATTGTACATAGGATTACAGTCGCCTTCTTGCTTCGCACTAGATGGGAATTTCCCTTTAGTTTCATCGGTAGAGCGACGAACTTGGAAGCTGTGGGTCGCGGGTTCGATCCCCGGTGAAAGCACACTACTCTCTTTCCTGTTACATATCCAACAACCAACAAACAGAATGCGGTGGTTTTCTACTCTACCTACTATCAACGGACAACCTTGGTTATGTAATTCATGTCTTTTACAATAAAATAACGGATCCATGGTACTATTAATGTAATTAATCATTTTAATGCTCATTTTGCTTTAAACAGGCTACCTTCAAAAACAAAATTATCCAAGTAGACAGTCACTTCACGATAATAAAGGTTATCTAAAATTGCGCGACCTCCCACAAGGCTAAAAATAAACAAGGGGATGGACACGTGTGGGGAAGAAGTAAGGGGTAGGGATGGAAATGCAGATTTGTATATATCATACTTGTAAATAACAATGCCCACCATACAACTGGCCCGCGCACGTGCACGAGCACACTAGTAATTCACAAACGCCTACTGCCTTCGTCTTCAATCAATTTTGTTCATTTTTGTTCAGGAGTCTTATCTAATCGATGACGTGATCCTGTTACGTCTGACGTTATTCCGAAAATAACTATTGACCGTCTCGAAGTCTGAGCAATGACCTTGAAACAACCTTCTATATTCTGTATCATTGATGTAGAACAGACTTCCTATATTCTAAAGCATTAAAGACCCTTGGAAGTAATGACTTCCTGTATTCTTTATCATTAACCACCCCTACATAACTTATTTCCTGTATTCTGTATCATTGACCACCCCTACAGAACTTATTTATTGTATTCTGTATCATTGACCACCCCTACAGAACTGATTTCCTGTATTCTGTATCATTGACCTCCCCAACAGAACTGATTTCCTGTATTCTGTATAATTGACCACCCCTACAGGACTTATTTCCTGTATTCCGTATCATTGACCACCCCCACAGAACTTATTTATTGTATTCTGTATCATTAACCACCCATACAGAACTTATTTACTGTATTCTGTATCATTGACTACCCCTGCAGAACTTATTTACTGTATTCTGTATCATTGGCCACCCCTACAGAACTTTTTTCCTTTATTCTGTATCATTGACGACCCCTACAGAACTGATTTCCGGTATTCTGTATCATTGACCCCCCTACAGAACTTATTTCCTGTATTCTGTATCATTGACTACCCCTACAGAACTTATTTACTGTATTCTGTATCATTGACCACCCCTACAGAACTGATTTCCTGTATTTTGTATCATTGACCACCCCTACAGAACTTATTTCCTGTATTCTGTATCATTGGTGACCCCCGATAGTACTGACTTCCTGATTGTTTTATTTAATGACGGTCAAAGTATGTCTTTGCAAAACAGAAAGAAACATTTCTAATAATGTGACAGACAAAACAGACAAAATTAAATGTTTGATGGTGTAAGTTACAATGCCTTATTAGTCAGGCAAACATTCGACACGGTAGAATAGATATAATTATCATATATGTGTATACTATTGTGGAATAGAAAATTTGTACTTCGATATCATTTTTTCTCATAGACTGGATTGCTAGCAAGATCGTCATTAATCGTCATTATTTTTAGATAAACAAAAGTTTATCATACCTTTCTTACGTGTACATTCACTGTCACTATTGAAAAGATCTATTTGGATTGATACACAAGTAAAAGTCCATGGATAAGTTACGTTTGAATAAAACTACAAGCGTAACATTTGAAATATGTTCTTGAAATTTAATGACTAAACTGAATTCGATAACGGCAGATCAAAGATCTTCTGTGAATAAAATGGACAGGTCTTACAGCGGCTACTAATATAAGTAACCTTGTCGTTCTTCGTCCCACAACAATATCACATAATAATGTCCATGTAATTACATTCACAGTGAATGGAGTGTGCGATGGCCTTTATCCTGGCCTCGAATTACCATATATTATCTTTTAAAGTACAATATCTTCGCGTACGTGGAAACATGCATTGTCCGTAATGCCTGTTGTATCAACGTGAAACTTTAAAATGAAATTGGATGATCCGGGGGGCTGTTTTCTGTTATACATTGTAGTAATAGACACAGTGACCAAAGAACGTATTACACAAGGTATGTCTGGACCTATCCTGATGTAAAGAGAAGTGTATTAAACGTGCTAACGGTTTAGATCAACACTTAGTGTAAATAAGGGTTGGTCCACATTTATTGTACCATCAATGAGAGGTGACCATTTTATATAAAGGTTTGAACATTGGCATCCCTCCTTTCCAAATCCTCTCCCCCTTCTTTCCACTCCCTCTCCACCCCAACTAACGTCTCTCCCCTTCTAACACATCCTCCTCTACAACCCCACCCCACCCCCATCCCATCCTTGCACCTCCTTCTCTATCCTATTCTAGCATCAACTCCTCTTTTTACCTACTCTTTTCAACGTCTTATCCATATTAATCTCACGTTCCTTCCATTTTCACCTTCTTTATCTTTCTTCTACCTACTTTTTTGTCTTCCTTATGCATCTTAAATGTTGCGAGGAAGTACCAAAACCAGAACCTACCAAACGTTATCATCAAATATTTGTTCGAGGCCTTTCCATCAGAAGTGAACATCTCGCGATGCATTTTACAGTATTTGACAACAAAAACTGTAAAATGTTATACATAATTGGTAT